GTTTTTGTGGTTTTAGTTCCTGCAGATGGCAACCAATGCACATGAGTTAATTGTTCTGTAGTATGAAAGGTTTGTGAGTACAGGACTGAAAGAAATGCACTGTTCTTTTTATAAGAAATTGCACATTGACTGAACTGAAAAAAAGAAGGAACTACTCAGGATAAGATAATGCAGCATCAGACATATTTACCTCGGCCAACAGAGGCTCCACCACCGCCCTCTTCTCACGTCGCTTCTGGCGGCCTTCGTCCAGTTCTTTTGCCCTCTTCCTCTTCTCCACATTCTCAGTGGAAAGAACAGGCAGGTTTTGGGAGGGCACAGTTCCTTTCTTAAGGTGGCGCTTCTGAGCTGGGTATTCTGAAGTAAATATGATATGTTGGTGATCGAGTTAGCTTAACAAATTGGCTGCTCAGTTTCAAGGAGCTAGCGAAACAATCCTAGGTTTACACATTCAAATGTAGTTTTCGGCCGCCTACTCGCTGTTAGTACGAGTCTACCAAACAGCGCAAATTAACATACCTCTTACTTTTCCAAACTGGGGAAAATATTAAAATTCAAGGTACGATATTGTGCGAATGTCACGAAGACACCGAGGATGTTCTCTCCGAGCGTTTCAGGTTGCATGAACGGAAAAGAACAAAGAAGAGACGACACGAGCACACCGTCCCGTCTCTTATGTGTTTATTCGACGAACACGCTCTCCGGGTCGTTTCTAACGAGCGCGACGCTCGGTTTTCAGGCTCACGCTGTCGAGACGTGGACCTCACTACTGTAGCAACGATCGAGTGCAGTGTTAATACGCTGATCGCAATCTATCATAAGCACGTTCAACCGTTTTTATTGCGTCGCTGACCCCGTTAAAAACGTTTACCGCGCGCCCAAAATGCCAGATAAATGAGCCTCATCGTTTGTCTCGATCGATGCGCTTATCGCTGCACTGATTTTTCGAACCTGGTGATGCCGTCCCCGGATAACGCAACGCAACACATGTCGGCACACTCTTACCTGGCAGGGTGTAGTCGCTCGAAGTAAAATGAAGCGAGCACACCGGCATGGTCTCGGTGACACTTTTCCCAATCCGAAGGACGCGGACCCACTCGTCGCGTCTGTTTACCACGTCTGGGCCCCTCCGACATGTTTCCCAGGCGTTCGGAAATCGGTGAAACGACAAATTATGGTCTTTCCACGCGGCGGCGGTGCATTGGGGCACCGAACAGTGCCGTTTGCACTTGGAGACGGCTGTTTTAGCGAGACGGTCGTCAACATCGCTGGAATCCGCCATAGCAGCCTCCCGGAGACCCTCAAATATTTCGTTCTGGCTACCGCCACGAGAGGGCGAGCGGCGAACTGGAGACGCGAATAGACTAGATGGCACATGTATATTCCTTACCGTCGGTGTCGTGCTAAGCTACACTGAAAGTTTAATCCCCATACCTTCGTCTTGCATGCTACTGAAACGAATGGTGTTTTACCAAGCTTCTCTGGGTACTCTGCATACATGCCGTTCATGCTCGTTTTCCAGTGATCGATGTATAGATGCTTTACACACGTGCCAATACAGCCGCCATGGCTGACCTTCTCTTGTCTTGCCGAGATACCGAACCGCTGAAAAGGGCATTGCCGAGCCTCCACAGAGGCCAATGCTGGGGCGAAGGACACAATAAAATCTAACCTCATCCAAGTTGTTAATCAGCCCACTCGTGGTGATAGCATTCTTGATCTTGTCCTTACTAGCTCTCCGGAACTTATAGAAAATGTTGACTCTGTTCCAGGTTTAAGCGACCACAATATCTTGCTCATTGAGTTATCAATTCCCGTCCTCACGAGGAACCCCACAATCAAAACAATCCGCGACTTCAACAAAGCTGATTACGTGGCAATAAATCAGCACTTATCTTCCTTTTATCAAACATACGCCGAAAACTTTTTTCAAGGTCGGTTGAAGAAAACTGGTTACATTTTAGAAATAAAATAAACAGTCTCACTGAGCAGTTCGTCCCCATTTTCACTGTGCGGAGCGACAGGAATAACCCCTGGTATAACAAAACACTGCGTTCATTGAACAAAAAGAAACGTTTGTATAAAAGAGCGAGACGACTGAACGTTAACTCTGTTTGGAATGAATACTTTGCGTGCCTCAAAACTTATACAAAAAGTATTAGATCGTCAAAACAGAAATTCTTCTCTTTAGATTTACCAAGAATTTTGCGCTCTAACCCCCAGAAGTTTTGGAAAATATTTTCGCCTAGAGGCACTCACTCGATTCATCTTCAGGACGAAAATTGAGTCGCTGTATCTGAGCTTCATTGCGCTACTGTATCAAATAATTATTTATCTTCTGTGTTCACCTGTGAAAATACCACTGATATTCCATGTTTACCCTTGTCCGACTTTGTACATATGGCTTCCATTGACATTACAGCTGATGGAATACTTCACCTCATAGAAAGATTAAAACTAGGGTCATCTTGTGGTCCCGATAATATAAACTCGAAAATTCTGAGCAATACCAAAGTTACATCTAGTGAGTGTCTTAAATTGATCTTTTCTCAGTCACTGGAGCGAGGTTGCTTACCCTTGGACTGCAAGCTGGGCAAGGTCGTTCGAGTCTTTAAAAGCGGCGATCGTAAGCTGCCCTCGAACTACCGTCCCATTTCATTAACCTGCATTGCGTCCAAACTTCTTGAGCATGTAATATCTTCTCACGTTATTTCCCCCTAGAAGAAAATAACTTTTTTTACAATCGCCAGCATGGTTTTCGGAGGGGCTTCTCGTGCGAAACGCAACTTGTAGAGTTCACTAATGAACTTTTCACTAATACTGACTCACTAAGCCAAACAGATGCCTTGTTCCTTGATTTCTCGAAGGCATTCGACGGGGTTCCTCATCATCGCCTAATCGATAAACTTTCTTTTCTTGGCATTGACCCTCTTGTTGTCTCCTGGATACGTGACTTTCTTTTTTCTCGTACTTAGTTCACTGTTGCTAACAACCATAAATCAAACTGCAGTCGCATCACTTCTGAAGTTCCTCAGGGATCCGTGCTTGGGCCTTTACTGTTTCTAACATTTATTAACGATTTACCTAACTCAATCACGTCTAGCATCCGTGTCTTCGCGGATGACTGTGTTCTGTATCGCAAAATTAATTCTCACAATAACCATCTTCAGCTTCAAAGTGATTTAAGTTTAATTTATGCTTGGTGCTCCAAATGGCTTATGTCATTGAATATGTCGATATGCAAGCTGGTTCGCTTTACTCGGAAAAAAACAACAAGCAACTTTTCATATTTTATTGGCTCCGACCTAGTTGACTCTACATCTTATTATAAATACCTCGGTGTAACGCTGAAAAGTGATCTAATCTGGAATAACCACATCGAAACTATTGTGGCAGAAGCTTCCCGGACTCTGGGGTACATCAAACGAAATTTGAAAGAAGCGCCCTCTCACTTACGAAAATTGGCCTACGAAACATATGTGCGACCGAAATTGGAATACGCATCAGCCATTTGGAGCCCACACCAAGCCTATCTCATCAGCCATCTTGAGTCCATCCAAAATCGTGCTGTTAGGTTTATCCTAAACGACTATTTCCCAACGACTAGTGTTTCATCTCTCAAACGTCAGCTCGATATCCCAAACTCTCAACGTACGACGTAAAATAACACGCTTAAGTTTGTTTCATAAGGTTTACCATTTTCACCCAATACTACGTTCCTCACTGCTTCTTCCTCCTAGCAGATCATCATCACGGCTAAACCAGTCACGACATGTGTCGCGGATCACTGGTCGCACTAATTATTTTAACCAATCTTTCTTGCCACAGACCATCATAGACTGGAACGACCTGCCACCTGATATAGCGGCCATTGATGACCCCACCTTGATTCGTGATGCTATAATTTCACGTTTTTACTAAGAATCAATCATTGTATTTTTTCACATCTTATGCAAGTGCAGCATTGTTAGCTGCAACACCTGGTGCTTTGTTTTTGTATTTTTTCATGTATGACCCGACCCCCCCCCCCCCCCCCTATGCAATGCCCTTGAAGAAGGACACTGACAGGGTATTTATGCTCGCCGAGGTTTTTAGTTGCACGTGACATATGAGAGCTCAACTACCCAGAACAGAATTTGCGGCTCGAAATTCGGCTTCTTTCCGCCCAAAAACCGCCGATCAAGAACTGGCCGGTTCGAGTCTCGCTCACTCTCTTTTCCGCGGCCACGGGCCTTTTCTAAGGTATCGATGCGAGTCATGCGACCACCAAATTTAATCAAAGTCATGGGTCACTGAAGGCACACACTCAATATTAAAAATAGAAAAAAATATGAAACCCATTTTTTGTGGCTTCTAAAAAGCTGCAAATACGTTGATTGAAAAAAAAGTTCCACAGACAACCGGAAGCAATCTGTGCGTGCGTCGTTTCGCGTACCGTGGGGCACGCAGGGACGGCGATGGCAGCGGACGACGGGCGTGGGACCTCTATTTCAGAACTGTCGTTCGCGGTACCGGCGAATTTCGTCTGCCTTTAAAAGAGAAATTTGGGACTGATCAAAAGAATTGGTGTTCATCCCGTACGACACGCCCGATCACCAAGCCGATTTGCACGAAGACGTCGCCGAGCCGTCGCTCCCTTCTCGTGGCTGAAGACATCGCTCGTGCAAACGTCAAGCACGACGTGTCTACTTCGAGTTGAATATGCACGCGTACGATTTCTTTACTAGGTGAGAATGTCGCCAATGCGTGGTGCATCCCGACTTCGACCCAGGAGTGCTTTTACTAGAGGACAATCGACAGAAACTTACCAACTTACAGTTTATCGGCTGAATTATTACTAAGGAAAGAGATTTAGCAGTTTCAATATGCCCCAGTAGCTCGAGGAGGAAGAAGAAGACGCCGTTGCGAACGGCCGTGGAAAAATGCTCTCTGGTGGAAACACCGCATCGGCCACTGGCCGAGTTATTTCTAAGTCTTCGGATGTCGTCTCTAACGAATACAAGGTCATACTTCCACGTCTGCCAACCGGTAACATCGTCCTCAACTCCGTATTTCTCCACGCCGATCTGACTGCTAGGCCATACACGGCCCCGGACTTTCGAGACGCCATCAAAGATGTTATCGACCTGAAAGACGTCAAAGCCACCGGACAATTTCAGATGAGTCATGTGTGGATGGTGACCTGCGTCAACGCCCTCGCCAAAGAGAAGCTTTGCAGTCGTGGTGAGTTGGTCGTGAAAGGCAAGAAATGCCTTGTCCTTGACCCAGACAGCCGGGACCTAAAGATCAAGCTTATTTGGCTTCCGGACTACCTCGAAGATAGGCGTATCATCGAAGCTCTGGCGCCTTACGGCACAGTCCGTAACATCAGCCGAGGGAAATGGCGGTGCCCCGGCATGGAGCACATGGACACCCTCAACAGGGAAGTTAACATCACCCTGCATGAAGGAATCACCACGGAGAAAATTCCATTCCTACTTAAAGTGTATGGATGTCAATCGCTCATCCTTATTCCAGGAAGACCACCCTTGTGCCTCAGGTGCAACAGGGTAGGACACGTCCGCCGACAGTGCAGAACACCGCGCTGCTCGGAATGTAAACGCTACGGACACACCGCAGACGACTGCGTCACAACGTATGCAAGCAAGCTTCGCGGAACGATATCCCAGGACGAAGGGGAACGGTCTGAGCTCCTGATGGATGTCTCGGAGGTTGTCGATGCTTCGGGGCACACACCACCCGCAGAAGCTTTTAAGAGCCAAGCCGAAGGTGACCTACCAGCAGCAGTGGCCGTCCCCCAAACCACGGAAAACGATCCAGAACTCCTCCCTGAACCATCCCCCCCACCTGACGATGATGACGACAACTCGTCCACAACCACGGTCGTCGGGGAGGATGCTACAGCAAGTGGAGACGACACCACCACCACCTTTGAGGTGGCACCAACGACCATCGGGTTGGATGCAGACGCGCTGAAGCCGCAAGATCCTTCAGAAGGACTCGGCTATCAGTCTGACACTGTTGTAGCTGATGAAGGGGCTGTCGCAAAATCGAGAAAAGATAGGAAGCAGGTAGGAACCAGACACCAGCCGTATCGAAAACAAAGTAGCCATAAGACGCTTGAAGATGGTCATGAGGGGCTTTAGCTCACCCTAATGCCCCTCATAAAATCCGCCCTGCCTTTGCATTTTTTAACGTTAAATGTGAGGGGCTTAAGGTCTAAAAGGAAACAGTACCAACTTCTAAGGCTCTTGAATCACGAGCATATTGACATAGCCGCAATACAAGAAACGAAATTGTCATCAGATGAAGACGTGGCAGAGGCTTTAGAGCCTTTTCGAAAGGACTTCGAAATATGTGTGAGTCAGGCAGTAGGCCTTTCTGCCGGTTGTTTTCTGTTTCTTCGTAAAAAGCTTGGCTATTCGTCTGTTTCCTTGACCAGAGACCAGGAAGGGCGTCTCATTTTATGTGACCTTTCTTTAAGACAGATCAACTGGCGTTTTATTTGTATATATGCTCCTAATACGGTGAATGGAAGGACTTCTTACTTCCAGTTTCTATCACATTTTCTGAACACCGACAAAACAGTTGTACTAATGGGAGATTTTAATTGTGTCTGTAGCGCAGAAGACCGTGCGCTACAGCAGACACGGTATGACAAAAGCTCTGCGTTACTCATTGACATACTCCAGGAGCGCAACCTTGTAGATGTGGCATGTCGGAAAGACCAATCAATACGCTTCACCCACTTTCAAGGTGTTTCACACGCTCGTCTTGATAGAATATATGTGTCAGGCGATGCATCTAATCAAATGAAGAACTATAGCGTTAAACCGGTGTTCTTTTCAGACCATTGTTTAGTTTCTGTTAGCTTCGGGACCAAAACTCTCCGTGTTTTTCGGCCTAAATGGGAACTCTGGAAACTTAATGTGAAGCTTTTAAAGGATGAGAAGTTTTCGAAAGGAGTTTCATTAATTCTGTCAGAAAGCCTTAAAAATAGTAATATGCATATTTTTGCAATATGGGACGGTTTTAAGCAAGAAGTAAAAAACTTGGCAATTGAACGCTCTACAGCAATATCTTACGAAAACAAACAGGAACAGCGCGAACTCTATAAAACTCTTTCGATATTCCATGAGATGGAAAGCATCAATCCCGGTTTTTACAACGACGACATCAATGTCACCAAAGCACAGCTTCAAAAATTCGAGGCAGAAAGGTATCGTGGAGCTGTCATACGTTCTCGCACGAGAAAGTTTTTGCTTGGCGAGCAACCCACCAAACGATCCCTGGATGATGAGAGGCGATATGCCCTATCGAAAGAAATATTAGAAATAGATCAAGAAGGCATAACTATCAAGGAGCCAACCTTGATTGTTAAAGCATTTGAAAACTACTACTTAAACATTTTTGGCAAGGCTATTCACACAGGCAATGCAAAGGATGTAGATAACTTGTTATCATTGATGCCTGCACTTAGTGAAGACAATAAAAATATCATAGAAGGCCCTATAACTTTAGATGAAGTCAAGGCCGCAATCGACTCTCTACAAAATGGCAAAACACCAGGACCCGATGGGCTTAGCGGAGAGTTTTACAAGAAATACCGAGACAAACTCAGTCAAGTGTTACTTGACGTTTTTCATGACTCCTACCAATGGAAGACGCTTCCTCCATCCTTTTACGACTGCCATACTGTCCTAATACCCAAGACGGAAGACTTAGAACAGAGGAAAAAAGTTGAAAATTATAGGCCAATATCACTTTGCAACGCAGATTACAAGATCTTTGCTAAAATATTGAATGACAGACTCCAGCTAGCATTCGAAGACCTTATTGGTGAGCACCAAACATGTGGTATAAAAGGAAGAAATATTCAAACCAATATCCACGTTGCGCGCACGGTTCTTGAGTGTGCCTCTGACAGTAACACACAAGTTGCTTTGACACAAATTGACTTGTCAAACGCCTTTGATCGTGTGAGCCACGCATTTTTGTTTGCCCTCATACGCCACATCAACGTAGGCGAAACTGTGTCCGAAGGTATTAACTTATGTTATCACAATAGCACTACAAGATTAATTGTGAACCACATGCTTTCCGATAAAATACGCATAAAAGCTTCCGTTCGCCAAGGCTGTCCATTATCACCTCTTCTCTTCACCATATATTTGGAACCTTTGTGCCGGAGCATATTTGCAAGTCAGAGTATTCAAGGATTTGCACTTAATAATGCGGAGGTAAAGGTACTCGCTTATGCCGATGACGTTGCCGTCTTCTGTGCAGATAAGAAGAGTGTGGAAGAGGCCATACATGTTACAGAACATTTCTGTAGTGTTACTGGAGCATCAATGAACACGGAAAAATGTAATGGATTTTGGTATGGTTCATGGGCTACCACGCCCCCATTTTTTGCCGGTATTGCATGGAATCGTGGTCCGCTGAAATACCTGGGAGTTCCGCTCTCACACATCAGGAGTAGCTCATCATACTGGACGTCAATGGAAACCTCGTTGAGGAGGAAAGCTGAAGCATGGAAAAGACGTGACATGTCCATGTTCACCAGGGCAAACGTGTGCAATGTGTTCCTAGTGTCTAAGCTAATGTACGTACTTCAGGTAATGCATTGTGCGCGTAAAAACATTCAAAAATTTCATCGAATTTTTGCGACATTTATTTGGCGTTCGTCGTGGGAGCCTCTCAAAAGGGACAACCTCTTCCTTCCCCTGGAGGCAGGGGGACTAAGTCTGTGTCATCTATTTGTTCGACAATTAGTATCCCGGTTTTTTTTCTTTAAGAATGCCGACCATCCCTTCCTCAAAACCGTTCTTCAGTTAAGACTGGCCACAAGTTTGAATTATTTAATTGTGTCCAGTGATGATTCCTTTCAGGGAAGACCTTGGGGCTTCCTAAAAGAGGTAGTGGACACGATTGAATTCTTGAAGACACGTTTCTCATTAGAATATTTATTTAATGTAACACGCAAGAAACTATCAGCAGCGATAATCGAAAGCATTTTTCCTATCCCGCTTTACCGAAGTCACTTTCCTGTCGATCCCCAAGATGATGTCCTTTACAGAGTAAAGAAGATGTCTGTTCCACCATCAACCAAATCGTTCTTTTTCAAACTGCACACTTCGACCTTGCCCGTTAAAACTTGGCTTCATAGTAGAGGGATATTTGTGCCGTGGACGGTTAACTGTAGGCTATGCAATAAGCCAGAAACCATAGAACACTGCTTCATTTACTGTAATGACGCCTTTTTTTCTGGGATGTGCTTCGACGAACACTAAAGAAAGACCTCGACATCACTGATCAAACTATTCGTTTTCTTCCATTCTCAAAAGGGGAAAGTGTTCCTTACGACATATTTGTAATTTTAGGCCTCCACAGTTTGTGGAGATGTAGAATGATAGATAGAAACGCGGAAGCGCCACGCACCACAAAATCTATTTTTGTGGAGAATATGGCTCAGCTGCGCAGTGTTTATGCGGCACAGCCATCCCAGCCTGATTGGTTTCCACTGTTAGACGCCTGCATAGGCCTACCAGATTTTTGAAGATTTTGCTTGTTTGCCCATTGTCAACCCCTCCGTTATATATGTATATAGCACTGTGATACTAAGGACTTTGGATGCGTTCTGTGTGTATATAGGTTTTGAAAGATTTGATTATCATTTGTTAAGTTTTGTATAATAATCTAATCAAGACATCAGCGTGTAAGAGGCCTATTGTTGACTGTAGATTGAATCCTCTCTGTAAATAGCATTTCATCTTTATCTGTATATTACTATGCTCGTTTGCCTGTTTGAATGCTTTTTGGCTGATGCGCTCTCTCTCTTGTTCTATAACTTCCATGTAATAAAGAAATAAAAATGCCCCAGTAGCTCAGTGGGAAAGACGTCCGCTTCACACGCGGTAGGACCGAGTTCGATCCCCCGTGAAACCTTTTTTTTTTTTTTTTTTTTTTTTCAAACACTTTTTGATGTTTACATTTTTTTTTACAATTATCACTGACGAAACAAAAAAAAAAAATAAGAAACAAATGTTGTGGACGACACGTCGCTGAATTAAATGGTATGGGATTTCCTTTTTGACACCTGCGAATTCAATGTAATTGCAAGGAGCATATAAATCAGGTAGCGTCCGCTTTCCCAGGTGCCCGTAAATGCCTACAGGAATTGCAGCCAGCCATTGGTCCCGATCCCTTTGATCTTTCGGAAACTCTGTCGCACAATGCCACTTCTGTTTCGGAAGCAGGACATCTGAGCCAGCTCTTCACGCAACATCTTGGGTGTATTCTTTTCGGAGCCGATCAAAATTCAGCACAGGCACTCACTACTCATCTCCAACTCCTCAATGTACAAAAAAACTCATCTTGGAGTACTGAACAACGAGTGGAACATGCATAACTGCAAAAGAATCGCACGGTGAACAGTTCCCGTACGCCGCATGTCGTCTGCTACCGGGAAAGAGAAAAAAAAAATAAAAAAAAAGAAGAAAAAACCGCACGGTCGGGTGTAGCCACGTGACTTCTGCCACTCACTCTCTTCTCTGCACTTCTCCGACCTCCGTCGGGTTTCGGTTTCGGTTTCGAGCAGTTGCGTCTTTTGGCTTTATTAAAAAAATACGCTACTCTATTGCAAAATATTAATTGGGTAGTCCTCCGACACCATAATGAAGCGCCAGGCAAAAAAATTAAAACATTTTTTTGGCGGGTGTCAGTGTCCCTTTAAAGGGACACTGACAGGGTATTTATGCTCGCCGAGGTTTTTAGTTGTACGTGACATATGAGAGCTCAACTACCCAGAACAGAATTTGCGGCTCGAAATTCGTTTTTTTTCCGCCCGAAAGCCACCGATCAAGAATTGGCCGGTTCGAGTCTCGCTCACTCTCTTTTTCGCGGTCACGGGCCGTTTTCTAAGGTATCGATGCGACCACCAAATTTAAATAAAGTCGTGGGTCACTGAAGGCACACACTCAATATTAAAAATAGAAAAAAAAATATGAAACCCATTTTTTGTGGCTTCTAAAAAGCTGTAAATACGTTGATTGAAAAAAAAAGTTCCACAGGCAACCGGAAGCATTCTGTGCGTTCGTCGTTTCGCGTATCGTGGGACTCGCGGGGACGGCGATGGCATCGGACGACGGGCGTGGGACCTCTATTTCAGAACTGTCGTTCGCGGTGCCGGCGAATTCTGTCTACCGTTAAAAGAGAAATTTGGGACTGATCAAAAGAATTGGTATTCATCCCGTACGACACGCCCGGCCACCAAGCCGATTTGCACGAAGGCGTCGCCGAGCCGTCGCTCCCTTCTCGTGGCTGAAGACAACGCTCGCGCAAACG